TCTTTTTTTTTTTTTTTAATATATCTTTATTGATTTTAGAGAGAGAAAAGGAGAGGGAGAGGGAGAGATAGAAACATCAATGATGAGAGAGTCATTGATCAGCTGCAGCCCGCAACCCGGGCATGTGCCCTGATCAGGAATCGAACCCCAATCGCCTGGATCCTAGGTCAACGCTCAACCGCTGAGCCACGCCCGGCTGGGCCCCTTCCTTCCTTCTTTCTCTTTCTCTCTTCCTAGCCTTCTCTCTCTCTCTCTCCCTCCCTCCCTTCCACTCTCTCTAAAAAAATCAATGGAGCCTGGCTGGCGTGGCTGGGTTTTGGGCTCAATCCCCAGTGCGGGGCATGCAGGAAGTATCTGATCAATGACTCTCCTCATTAATGTTTCTCTCTCTCTGAAATCAATAAAAATTAAATAAATAAATAAATAAATAAATAAATAAATAAATAAATAAATAAATAAATAAATAAATAATAAATGGAGCCCGGATGGCGTTGCTCAGTGGTTGAATGTCAATCTATGAACCAGGTGGTAATGGCTCAATTCCGAGTCAGTGCACATGCCCGTGTTGCAGGCTCGATTTGATGTTTCTCTTTCATCATTGATGTGTCTATGTCTCTATTCCTCTCCCTTCCTCTCTCACTAAAATCAATAATAAGCCCGGCCGGGCATGGCTCAGCGGTTGAGAGTCAACCTAGGATCCAGGCGATCAGGGTTTGATTCCCGGTGAGGGCACATGCCCGGCTTGTGGGCTCGATCAATGACTCTCTCATCATTGATGTTTCTCTCTCTCTCTCTCTCTCTCTCTCCCTTTCCCTCCCTCTCTCTGGAATCAATAAAGATATGTTTTTTAAAAAAAAAAGGCACAAAGAAACTTAAAAAAAAAAAAAAAATAAATAATAATAAAAAAACATTTTTAAAAATTAAAAATCAATGGAAAAAATATCCTCAGGTAAGGGTTAACAAGAAAAAAAGAAGGCAAACTGTTTGTTGGCAAGGTCTGTGACTCTTTATGCAAAATTAGGTACATATAAAATAACTTCTGTCCTGACAAATAAAAAAAGTTTTAAAAGCACCTTTAGGATACACATTTCCAGTAATTTGTAGCCAATATCTGCAGAAATAAATCATTTTTGAGGTTCATCAACCTTGAATGAATGGGGTACAACAAATAGGCCCTTTAAACCATAAACACTAAAAATCCATTCGAATTCATAAATAAGTTCAGCAAGACCGCAGAATATATACAAAGGATCAATTATATTTATATAAAGAAACAATGAAATTTTAAAAATAATTCCATTTATAACTGCATCAAAAATATTTAGGAATAAATTTCAAGAAATGCAAAATTTATACTCTAAAAACTATAAAACATTGTTGAAAACAAAATTAAAGAAGACTTAAATAAATGGAAAGACATACCACATTTGTGGATGGGAATACTGTTAAAATGGCAATATTCCCCAAATTAATCTATTAAATGCAATCCCAATCCCAATCCCAACTAGCTTCTTTGCAGAAACTGACAAATTGAACCTAAAATTAATATGGAAACACGCGACCTAGAATACCACAAAAATCTTGGGGAAAAATTAAAAAGTTGGGAGGACTCATACTTCCTAATTTGAAACTTACGAGAAAGTGTTAGTAATCAAGACAGTTTGGAACTAGCCTAAGAATAGGCATACAAATTAACAAAATACAATTCAGAATCCAGAAACAAACTCTCACATTTATGATCAACTGATTTCATCAAGGGGACGTGGGTCCCAAGATAGTTCAATGTGGGAAAAATAGCCTTTTCAACAAATGATACTGGGACAATTACACATCCACATGCAAAAGAATAAAGTCAAACACCTACCTCAAATAAAACACAAAAATTAGCCCAAAGTAAATCGAAATCAAAGACTTAAATATAAGAAGTATAACTATAAAACTCTTAGCAGACAATATAAGTATAAATGTTTGTGACCTTGGATTAAGCAGTGGTTTAATGCTACAATACCAAAAGTACAAACAGAAAAAGAAAAAACTGATTAATGGTACATCACCAAATTAAAAACAATTGTGCTTTGCCCTAGCTGGTTTGGCTCAGTGGTTAGTGTATTGGCCCTCGGACTGAAGGTCCTTGGCTCGATTCTGGCCAAGGGCATGTACCTTGGTTCTGGGCTTGATCCCTGGCCCTGGTTGGGGCACATGCAGGAGGCAACCAATCCATACATCTCTCTCACACTGATGTTTTTCTCTCTCTCTCTCTCTCTCTCTTCCACTCTCTGGAAAGCAATGAAAAAAATATCTTTGGGTGAGGATTTAAAAAATAAATAAATATACAAATAAAATAAAATAAAAATAATTGTGCTTCAAAGAGTACCATTAAGAAATTGAAAAGGCTACCTATGAAATGGAAAAAAAATTTTGCAAATCATATATCTTATAGAGGCCTTATATCTAAATATATATATTTAAAAAACCTCTTAAAACTCAATAATAAAAAGACAAACCAAATTTTTAAATGGGAAAATAATCTGGATAGTTCTCCAAAGACGATATACAAGTAGCCAATAAACATAAGAAAAGATGTTCAACATCATTCATCAATAGAGAAATATAATCAAAACCTCAATGAAATACCTCATCACATCCACTAAGATGGTTAAAAAAAAAATACAGGACAACAACAAGTGGCAGGGATGTGGAGAAATCAGTACCCTTATTTACTGCTAGTGGGAATGTAAAATGGTGCAACTGCTGGAAAACACTCTGGCGTTCCTCAAAAGGTTAAACATAGCTTATGACCCAGGTACATACCCAAGGTATATATCCAAGAGAAGTGAAAACATGTCCCTAAACCTCTACATAAATGTTCACAGCAGTATTATTCATAATACCCCAAAAGTGGAAACAACCCAAATGTTCACTGACTGATGAATGGATAAACATGAAGCACATCTATACAATGGAATACTACTGGGCAATAAAAATACATAAATTGTATTTTTTAATGTTTTTATTGATTTGAGAGAGAGAGAGAGAGGGGAAGGGAGAGGGAGAAACATCGATTAGCTGTCTCCTGCACGCCCCCTACTGGGGATCCAGCCTATAACCACAGCAGATGCCCTGACCTGGAATTGAGCAACAGACAACGCTCAACCGAGCCACACTGGCCAGGGCCACAAATTTGTGTTTTCTATATCTTTATTGATTTCAGAGAGAGGAAGGGAGAGGAAGAGACAGATAGAAACATCAGTGATGAGAGAGAGTTACTGATCGGCTGCCTCCTGCACGCCCCCAACTGGGGATTGAGCCCACAACCCAGGCATGTGCCCTGACTGGGAATTGAACCTCGATCCTCTGGATCCAAGGTCGATGCTCAACCACTGAGCCATGCCCGGCCGGGCAAAAATTTTTTTTTAAAGGAATTAAATACTGATGCATACTACAACATGAACAAACCTTGAAAACATTTTGCTAAGTGTAAAAAGCCAGTCACAAAGAAACTCATATTATATATGACTCCATTCATATGAAATACCCAGAAGAGGCAAATCCATAGAGGCAGAAAGACTTGTAGTGTCTACAACTGCCGAGTTTGGGGGAGGGGAAATAAGTGACTGCTAATCAGAACAAGGTTTATTTTTGGGATGATGGAAGTGTTCTAAGATCAATTGTGCTAATATCATGGTATATATAACTAAAACCAATGAACCGTATACTTCAAATGGGTGAATTGCCCTGGCAAGTTTTGCTCAATAGTTAGAGTGTCGGCCCTCAGACTGAAGGGTCCCTGGTTTGATTCCGGTCAAGGGCACGTACCTCGGTTGTAGATTCAATCCCCGGCCCAGGTCATGGCACAAGGGAGGCAACCAATTGATGTGTCTCTCTCATGTAGATGTATGTTTCTCTCTCTCTTCCACTCTCTCTGAAAAATCAAGGGAAAAAATATCCTCGGGTTCTGGCTGGTTTGGTTCAGTGGTTAGAGCATCAGTCCTTGGACTAAAGGGTCCCGGGTTTGATTCTGGCCAAGTGCACATACCTCGGGTTGAGGGCTCAATCCCTGGCCCCAGTTGGGGTGAGTGTGGAGGCAACCAATCAATGTGTCTGTCTCACATCAATATTTCTCTCTCTCTCCCTTCCACTCTCTCTGAAAAGCAATGAAAAAAATATATCCTCAGGTGAGGATTAAAAAAACCAAAATGGTGAATTGTATGGTATATAAATTTTATCTGAACAAAGCTCTTATTGAAAAAAAAAAAAAAAAGAAAACAGAAACAGAAAGCTATTGTGATAACTTATTGGTTATTGGCAATGCTAATACTGTGAGTTGTTTGGAGATATGGCAACCTCATTTGATACCTTATGTAAGGAACTACATGTTTCTTTTCTATTGCTTCATTCAACCATTTTTTCTTTTCTTTAAGAAACTGTTTATTTTCTGTAAACCTTATTGCCGTTCTGTTATGAGTCTGGAAGAACAGCTTAAGACCAGTCAATGGTTGTTCCTACCCATTCAGTGGCCTGAGCAGTAGGGGCTGCAGACCAGTCTTTAGTGGCAGGCTGGGCACTCCAATCTTCACTAGGAAACTGCTGAATGGGCACAGAGGGGGACCTGCATGACTTCAGACCAGTCTGTAAACTCAGGCTGAGCAACAGTGAACTTGGGAGCTGAAGCAGTCCGTTCACCCTGAAATTCCTCCTTAGTCACAGCCTTTTCAGCAGCAGCCTGCTCTTCCTTTTCAATCTCTTCAGGATCTCTGTAGAAGTAAAGATCAGGCATGATCTCCCATGAGTGCTCAGGGTAGATGGTGCCATGGAAGGGGCAATACTTCCTGGGCCAGGATCCACCACATCAGACACACTGAGTGAGCCCCCTTGTTGTTGCACAGGATGGTAATGTCCACATGACACAGAGGAGAGTCTGTGTTCCACAGAACAATGGCAGGCAGGTTAACATAAGATGCCTCTGTGAGGGGCTGGTGGAGCCCTGGGATCAGTGACCACCGGACATCAGGGCTCCTGGAGGGTGCCTGGATACGGTCAGTGAAGGTTCCAGGAGTGCAGCAGCCAGCAATAGGAGTGGCTCCAGTGGCAGCAGCAAGCTTCAGCACAGCTAGCTGGCCAGTATTCCTGGAGGATATGACTGACAACAACGGGGTTTTCAATGGCAGCAATGGTACGAGCTGCCAGCAGAAGCTTCTCCCACGTCCCCTTCAGATTTATGATGTAGAGGCCATCACTTTTCCTTTGCAGATGTGCTGTTCCATTTGGAAGTCAAGGTTGGTGCCACCTAAGTGAGTTCCTGCTTCGAGGAATTCGAGGACATCCTCCTCCTTCATTTGTAGGACATCAAGGGGTCCGGATATTGTGCAAGTTTCCCTTTAAATTATGTGGGCCCCTCTCTGGGTAGTGTGGAAAGGGCCGTATTTTCTTTTTATTACAGTGATAGATAGTAACCACTTACTTCATTTAGCACATGGTTTGACTGATAGATTTCAATATCTACCTAATAGATTTACAGAGCCTTATCTTTTGATATCCATTTTTTGCTACATATTCCATATAATCTTTCCACTCTAATCAATTAAAAATGTTTTAATTGATTTTTAGCGAGAGAGGAAGGGAGAGGAATAGAGAGACAGAATCACTGATGAGAGAGAAACATCTTGATCAACTGCCTCTTGCACGTCTCCTACTGGGGATCAAGCCCACAACCCAGGCATGTGCCCTGACTGGAAATCAAACCAGTGACCTCTTGGTTCATGGGTAGACGCTCAACAACTGAACCACACCAGCCAGGCATATCTTTCCACTTTAAAAAAATTATTGCTTCATACGCTCTTACAGAGCAATAATATTTTTTTCCCCCTTCTTTTCAAGGGAGAGCGTGAATACAGTCCCCCGCTACCACAAATTATACAGTTGAGTTTCCCACATTTGGGGAAATCGCTGGGGTCAGCACATCCAGAATGCAATGGATAAGCCTCACCCTGGGAAAACCACCTTCATGATCGTGGCATCTCTTCTGCCAGGTAAGTATAGAGCAATAATATTTTAAAATCTGAGTAAAAGATTAGGAACAGGTTGAAAATATGGAGAAACGCTGCATCAAGAATTATAATTTCCCATTTTCATAAGAAGATAGTTATCATTTAGCAGCCACAAAATATTTATCCTGAAAAACAAATTGGACATAGCCATTCTGAAACTGTCAGACTATTTCCAAAGCACGTTAGTAGCAGGTGAAGGGCGATAAGAGACTACCTTAGAAGATCTCCTACTTGTGGAGACGGATGGTGGTAATGGTTGCACAACAATGAGAAAGGGCTTAATACCACTCAACGGTACACTAAAAAATGGTTAAAATGGTAAATTTTATATTATGTATATTTTACCACAATTAAAAATTAATTGTTTAATGGTAAATTTTATGTTATGCATATTTTACCACAATTAAAAAAAAATTGTTTAAAAAAAGGACCTTCCACTACTACTGTTTAGTAAGTGAAATAAAAATCCATCAGTAATATATTTTATGTTCTTTGGAGATATAATCTTTTTTTGTTGAGATATAATTCATATACTATAAAAATCACCCTTTTCAAGTGTACAATCCAGTGGTTTTTAGTATATTCAAAATAGTCCCTTAAAAAAAAAAAGTATATTCTTATTCCTAATTACATATTGCATCAGAATAAAAAAAAATATCTTAGAAGAGCAAATTTTGAGATGAGGTAAAAATATGTGTATTTACTGGTGGTATCAAAAGCAACATATACTCCTACATAAATGCAAAATATAGTACCCCCACCTTTAGTGCACCGAATCCTCATGACTGCCTCAAAGCCAATCTTCCGGGTGAGGTATCTGTGTAGCTCCTTCTGTAATTTCTGTACCTGGACTGGGTTGTGCTGGTGGTGGTAAGAGGGATAGTAATAGACACTACCCGCTGAATACCGAGAAATACAACCTGGAAAAGAACACACACTCCTTTTAAATTCTGCCATTGACTACCATTACTACACCAAAGTAACTACAGGCATCTGAATCAATCTTTCTTTAACCTCCCCAGATACTGTTAAAAGAATAATATTTCACTCCTTTAAATAGTAGCATATAAATGTCTCTATTATAAACTTTCAGAGTAGAAGACTGTAGGGTTTATAATAGACTAAACTAACTCTCCCAAGGGAATTAAATTTCTTTCACTTTGTCTTCTATTTATTTATTTTTTTTATTTAAAAAAAAAAATTTTTTTTTTTTTCTTTTAATATATCTTTATTGATTTCAGAGAGAGGAAAGGAGAGGGCGAGAGAGAGAGAGAAACACCAATGATAAGAGAGTCACTGATCAAGTCCGCAACCCGGGCATGTGCCCTGACCGGGAATCGAACCCCGATCGCCTGGATCCCAGGTCGACGCTCAACCACTGAGCCACGCCCGGCCGGGCTATTTTTTATTTTTTTTAAATATATCTTTATTGATTTCAGAGAGAGGAAGGGAGAGGGAGAGAGAGAGATAGAAACATCAATGATGAGAGAGTCATTGATCTGCTGCAGTCTGCAACCGGGGCATGTGCCCTGACCGGGAATCGAACCCTGATCCCCTGGATCCTAAGCCGATGCTCAACCGCTGAGCCACGCCCGGCTGGGCACTTTGTCTTCTATTTAGAATACCATTATATAAATATCATTTTGACACTCCTTTGAGAAAAATAATCATTGGGAAACACTTACCCAGAGAAGCCAGATCCGAATACTGTCCACTAAGAAGGAACAGATCAACAGCTACCTGCTGACCAGAACAGTCCAAGGCTAATTTCTTATAGAAGTCAGTGGATGGCGTTAAGTGAATTTCCTATTAATAATAAATTAAAAAGGAAAAGCATTTTAAATCATTAAGTTGTCATAAAATTTAAATTTCTATCTATACATACCAAGGTGTTAACAATTATCCTTGGGTATTCTACAAAATCCTTTTACTTTTACTTTGGAATATTTCTGGTTTTTCAGTAAGAAACATGAACTGCTCAAGAGTTTTTTTCTTTTGTTTTACTTTTAAAAAGAAATAAATCTGTTATACTAATTTCAAAAATCTATTAAATGCTTAGTATGCTGGAAACGGTTCTAAACAATTTATGTGTAATATCTATTTAGTCATTTTAACTACCATAAGAGGTGGGTACTATCACTATTTTCACATTATAAGGGAACAGAGGGGCAAAGAAATTAAGTAACTATTCAAGTTCACACATCTAAAAAGCAGTGGAATCTAGGTAGACTGACTCCAGGACCAACACCATAATCATTATAGATTATGGCTTCTCATAATCTTTTGAGAAATATACATCTCAAACTAAGTTTATAGACACAAGATGCTCAAAAGCAATGCATAGGAGTCAAGCTACCAAACTATGAGTATTTTTTACTGGTTCTACTTTGTCCCTAGCAAGCTTATTCTCTTAGTCTGCCTTTCTTATCAAAGGCAGGCTGCATTGCTAATGGCCTGCTAAAGATCTAAAAATAAGGTAGAAAATTATGTAATAAAATAGAAAAGTCTACATAAGAAAGAAATGCTTTATCTGTTTCCTCATATTCCCTCCTCTCCACAACTGAAAACATAAATAAAAAACAAGCTGTGTGGTCAGACAGAGCACCAGCATAAATCTTTTCACAGATTTGATGACCTTCTAACCTTAGCAGATGACCTTTGGCTGGGTTCCTCTCGTGGTTTCAGAGCTCCCACCCCAAGAGTTGGGAGTTGTGTTTGAAAGACAGTCATTCGACCACCAGTTGGGGACATCAGCTTAAAGGCAGCCTGAAGTGCAGGACCCAAGGCACTCTGGGTCTCCAGGGTCTTGGTGAACATTTGTGGCAAAGTTTTCAGTAAATCTTGGACAAGCTTGTGAAATAAAGCAAGAAAATTCAGAAGTGTTATAATTGAAAAAATATTTTTCACAGAAAGTCAGCAACTAATGTAACAGACAAGACATCAAGTCATGATGATGGTCAGAGAATCTACAGACAGTACAGTAAACAATGAAGTTGGTCAAATGACAAGAAAGCCATTTTAAATAAACATTATAAATTGGCAAGCAAGACAAATAAAAATTGGGGCCTTACAGTTCTTGCACATGCAGTAGTCCAGCAAGACTATAAGTCCAAAATGTATCCAAAAGAACCATCACAGTTTAGAGATTTGATTTATTTTAATGCCATGAAATATGGCCTTCTCAATCACCTCTACACACTGTATTCTTTTCAGATCCAAAGTGAGTTTAACTTTTCACTACTGCAAAATCTAAGATATCCAGTAAATTTGCAAACTAGTAATAATCACAACAGAAGAAAAACAAAACGAATAACAACTACCTATTTAGGTTAGGATGTACGAATAAAGAGGAGTGAATGGGAAAAAATACATCGCACTATTGCGAAGTCACCATTGCCAACTGCTGAGACCATAGACTTGCTAGTTAAAATGTTACTCCTACGGCATAAATGCATATACAGGGTAGACAACATCCCCCCTTCAGACACATTCTGTTCACCTCTCACTGTATTATGTCATGGCAATTTCCAGGCAGGTAATAAGAGTTTCTTCTGAACTGACCCCAATGACACTCTGCGAATCAGAAAAGCACAGGGCACTGAAAGCAGCCTAGCTAAAGTGCTTCTAAGTAGTGACCAGAAACTTATCTCAGCAACCCTCCCAATTTCCCAAATGGCTGGAAAGGCAGATTTCCTTCAGGTTTTCCTCCTTAATGGAATAGGCTCATCTTCTATCCAACTACAAATAACTTGCTACATTAGACTTGAAAGCAATCAGGTAAGGGCAAACTCAAGGGCAGTTCTTCTGATGAATTTTAATTAATAGCAAAATATAAAATGCTATACATCTTAGAAATGTCACAGAAAGAAGCAAAATTTTACTCAATGTTTATTTCAAAAATATATTCCTTCAATATTGCAATTAAACATGCCAGACAGGAAAAAGTGCCTTACCTCTTTACTTTCATTTAAATTTACTAATAGGTTCTCTGGCATAGGTATAAAAATATCTGAAAGAAGAAATAAATTTTTAAATTGTTAAAAGTGTTCCAAATACTTAATACTGCTATAAGTAACTATGCCCATACTTACAGAAAAGCCACTTCCTCCACTACTATAGCACATGTCTATGTATGTATGTTTTAGGTATTCATTGCAACTTAACTGTTCTTGTAGAAAAGGTAAATAGCCTCCCAATTAGACAATATTGATCTATAAGCACTCAGTAAGGGTTTGCACAAGGGCTCTGCTTCTTAGGTTAAAGACAACAATTCAGAATTCTGCTTTATGTTTTTGCTTAGTCCTGGAAGCCAGCCAAGGAAACACTTACTTAAAAAAAGCAAAAAAAAAAAAAAACAACCAGCACCCTGCCGGGTGTGGCTCAGTTGTTTGGAGCATTGTTCTGTGCACCAAAAAGTTGCAGATTCAATTCCTGGTCAGGGCACATGCCCAGGCTGCGGGTTCAATCCCCAGTCAGGTTCCATACAGGAGGCAACTGATCAATGTTTCTCTCTCATATCAATGTTTCTCTCTCTCCCTCTCCCTTCCTCTCTAAATTCAATAATATTTTTAAAAGGTTGACTCAGATGACACAGGTTGACACAAGAACACTCTGTCTTTACATAGACATAACACAGCCCATCAAGAGACCGTCACTCAAAAAGAGAATACTTTCTCATAAATAAAGTGCCCACCAGTACCTCCACCTATGGGACTACAAAATCAAATGAATCAGAAAGTAGACTACGTCAGATGAGCTTCTCAGGACTCAAATTTACTCTTGCTTAGGAATTAAATTACTTTCCTGAAAAGGAAGCAAACTGAGAAGGAAATATGGGTGATGGTGGAAGATTATGAGGAGTACCATTTCCTACATTAGTGTACTGCTTATTATTACAAAAAAATAAGCTTCATTATAATGTTTATAAAAATACCAACAAATAACTTGAAACATTATTTACTTTAGCTGACATATAAAAAAATATACTGTTTAGATTTCTTCCTTTTTTTCTTTAAAATAAAAATTTTAGTCCTGGTCAGTGTGGTACAGTGGTTAGAGCATCAGCCCACACATCCAAGGGTCATGGGTTTGATCCTTGGCCCAGGTTGAGGTCCATGCGGGAGGCAGCCAATCGTTGTGTCTCTCTCACACCAATGCTTCTCTTTCTCTCTGTCTCTCCATCCTCCTCCCCCGTTCACTGCTTCTTAAAAAAAAATTAAAATTTTAATAAGTTTTATTTATACAATTCATGATTTTTAACAGATTCAGAGTTGTACAACAGTCACCACTATCTAATTCCAGACCCTTTATCATCCCCAAAAGAAAACTCTCACTGATGAACAGTCACTCCTCACTTCCCTGACAATTCCCAAAGCTCTAAGCAGCCTCCAGTTTGTCTGTCTCTGGATTTACCTATTCTAGACATTTCATACTAATGGAGTCACACTATGAGGTCCTTTTAACTTAGCATAGTTTTCAAGGTTCATCCATGTTGTAGCATCTAGCAGTACTTTCATCCTTTTATTGTATGGATATACCACATTTTGTTTATCCATTCAGCAAAAGATAAGCATTTGGGTCATTACTACTTTTTGGCTATGTTGCTAATGGACATTCATGTATATATTTTTGTGTAGACTGTGTTTAATTTTCTTAAGTATTGAGTGGAACTGCTGAGTCATATGGAGCTCTATGTTTAACTTTAAAAGAACTGACAGGCTGCTTTACATAGTAGCTGAACCACTTTCCATTCCCACTGGCAGTGTATGAGAGTTCCAATTTCTCCACATCCTTGCAAATACTTGATTATCCTTTCTTTCCTTTTTTCATTTCAAAATTATTACTATTTTTAAATTACAGTTGACATATATTATTATATTAGTTTCAGGTGTACACTCCAGTGATTAGACATTACATAACTTACTAAGTAATCATCTCAATAAATCTCACAACTATCTGATACCATAGTTATTACTGACTATATTCCCTATACTGTACTTTACATCCCCATGACTATTCCATAACAACCAATTTGTACTTCTTAATTCCTTCACCTTTTTCACCCTCCCTAATCTTCCTCCCATTTTGAATTGTCAAAATGTTCTCTGTATCTATCAGTCTATTTCTGTTCTGCTTGTTCATTTGTTTTTTAGATTCAGTTGTTGATAGACATTTATTTATTGCCATTTTATTTTCATATATTTTTGGTTAAATATGTTTTTATTGATTTCAGAGAGAGGGGGAGATAGATGATTGATAGATGACAGACAGACAGACAGACAGAAACACTGATGAGAAACATGGATCAGCTGCCTCTTGCATGCCCCCTACTGGGGAATCATGACTGCAACCAATGCATGAGTCGATGCTCAACCACTGAGCCACCCCGGCTAGGCTTCTTGTCATATTTTTTATCTTTTTTTCTTCTTCTTACACAACACCCTTTAGCATTTCATATAATACTGGTTTGGTGGTGATGAACTCCTTTAGCTTTTTCTTGTCTGGTAACCTCTTATATCTGTCCTTCAATTCTAAATAACAGTTTTGCTGGGTAGAATAATCTTGGTTGTAGGTCCTTGCTTTTCATCACTTTAAATGTCGAGAAATCAGCTTACAGTCTTATGGGAACTCCCTTGTAGATAACTAAATGCTTTTCCCTTGCTACTTTTAAGATTCTGTCTTTAACTTTTTGCATTTTAATTATGTGTCTTGGTGTGGGACTTTTTGAGTTCATCTTGTTTGGGACTCTCTGCACTTCCTGGACTTGCATGTGTTATTTCCTTTACCAGGTTAGGGAAGTTTCCTGTCAATTTTCCAAATCGGTTTTCAACTTCTTGTTCTCTCTCTTCTTCTGGCAACCCCATGATGCGAATGTTGTTACACTGAAGTTGTCTCAGTCTCCTTACTATCCTTATTTTTTAAAATTTCTTTTTCTTTCTGCCGTTCTGATTGGGTGTTCTTTTGCTTCCTTATAGTCCAAATTGCTGATTTGATTCTTGGCTTCCTCTACTCTACTATTGATTCCTTGTAAATTATTTTTCATTTCAGGTATTGTATTCTTCATTTCTGACTGGTCCTTTTTTATGTATGCTGTTGAGGTTCTCATTAAATTCCTTGCACATCCTTATAATTCGTGTTTTGAACTCTGCAACTAGTAGATTGCTCGTCTCCATTTTGTTTAGTTCTTTTTCTGGAGTTTTGTTCTGTTCATTCATTTGAGGCACGTTTCTTTGTCTCATTTTGGCAGCCTCCCTGTGTTTGTTTCTATGTATTAGGTAGAGCTGCTACGTCTCCCAGGCTTAGTAGAGTGGCCTAATGAAGCAGGTGTTCTGTAGAGTCCAGTGGCACAATGTCCCTGATCACCCAAGCTGGGCACTCGAGGTTTGTCCCCTGTGTGAGTTCTGTACACCATACTCTTGTAGTTGAGCCTTGACTGCTGTTGGCACATCAATGGGAGGGATTTAGCCCTCGGATGATCAGCTACAAGCACTGGCTATGGCCACCGACCGATGACCTCTGACAACTGTGAATGATCAGCAGGGCAGTGCAGGGGCCCATCTCACAGAGCAAGACTTACTTCAGCGGGGCTCTGGTGCCCACAGAGTCTGCCCCTTGAGTGTGTCACTTGTAGAGGTGGTTGGGTGGTGATGTTTCAACATGATCTGAAGATATCTACTGGGTGTACTGGCTCTGGGGCCTCCTGGGAGGTGCAGGCCAAAGTCAGCTGCTGCCTGTGTTCTGCCCAGGACCTCCCTGCATGAGCTACAAAGCCATCTGTAGATAGCTGCTACTAGTGCTGGGCCTGGAGGTGGCCAAAAGAGGCCAAGCTGTGAACCAATGCCACCTGCTACCAGTGTCAAGCCTGGGGCCAGTTAGTGAGAGGTATGGGGCGTATTGAGGCCAGATGCTGCTTGAGAAATTTTAGGAAAATCTTAAGCATGAGCCAAGACAGGCCCTTTCCTATGGAAAACCCACTGGAAAAAGTTTGGGTGGGCCTGAAAGATGGGTGGGGCAGGGCAAACAGTGTGAGCCAGGTCGATGGAGTGTTAGATATTAAACCTGCCCCCTGGCTCTATGCGGGGAGAGCTCATCAAAGGAACAATGGCCTCTGATAGCACTTCTGTCTGGAAGAAAGCTGCCCCCTCCAAGCTCTTGTCCTGATGCCAGACAATTCAGTTCCTCCCCGTACGTCTGGTGCCTTTCAAGCTGCTGCCCCAGTCCTGGAGCTCAGAACTGAGTCAGAGTAAGTCTGTGTGCAGGCCCGTTAGAGGAACTGTCTAGGACTCCACCAGCGCTCTATCTCCCTCACTCTAAATCCTTGCTAGTTTTTACAACCAGAAGTTATGAGTACTTCTCTTCCTGGCACTGCAACCCTGGGCTGGGGACCCCTTGCTCCTCAGGGGGTACCTCTGCAACCAAGATATCCCTACCAACTTTTATTCACCACATGTAGGTTTGGAACCAACTTGTTCTGTGTCTCTGTCCCTCCTACCAGTCTTGATGTGGCCTTCAATTCCCTAGTTGTAAGACTTCCATTCAGCCTGATTTCAGGTAGTTCTGAATGATGGTTGTTGTGTTGTTTAGTTGTAATTTTGATGTTATGGGAGGAGTGGAGTAATGCGTTTACCTATGTTGCCATCTTGCCTGGAAGTCCTGTTTTTTCCTTCTATGTGACATCCAGCAAGGGATATTCCATCTATCAGCTCATGTATAACACTGAGAGACTGGAACACAACAGTAAATTCACAACTTGACCCGCCATGAGAATCACCTGTTTAGATTTTACTTTATGCTAAGTAAGTATCTGGGTGAACAGATTAAGAATGATCTGCTGTGAATATTTAGAACCACCAAGATGGAAGTGAGCTCTCCTCAATTAAAGAAGTATAGTCAATCCACACTGTTCACTGATTCCTTACTTGTGAATTTGCCTACTCACTAAAATTTACTTGTAGCCCCAAAACCAATACTCATGGTGCTTTCACAGTCATTCACAGACATTCTGAGAGAAAAACATTGAATTTGAAAGTTTGTTAACTGATGTGAGGTGGCATCTGGTGGTTTTCATTTGCATTTCCCTGATAACTCAAGTGTTTATTGGGCAACTGTATATAGAGAATATTATGTCAATAAAAGTATATTTATTCAACTCCTTTGCCCATTTTTTAATATCTTTATTGATTTCAGAGAGAAAGGGAAAGGGAGACAGAGATAAAAACATCAATGATGAGTTATTGATTGGCTGCCTCCTGCACGCCCCCCACTGGGGATTGAGCCCACAACTCGGGTATGTGCCGTGACCGGGAATCGAACCTGGATCTCCTGGATCGTAGGTCGATGCTCAACCGCTGAGCCACGCCCACTTTTTAATTAGGTTGTCATTTTTTTGTTGAGTTGTAGTTCTTGATATAATTGAGATGTAATTCTCTGATCACATATATGATTTACAAATATTTTCTCTCATTCTGTGGGTTCTCAGTTCACTTTCTTGATAGTGTCCTTTGAATTTAGCATGAAAGTTTTTAATTTCGAAAAAGTCTAATTTATGCTTTTTCTTTTCGTTTGTGCTTTTGTTGTTATATTTAAGAAATCATTACCTAATCCAAGGTCACAAAGATTTATTTCTATATTTCCTTCTAACGGTTTTCTAGTTTTAGTCTCACACTCAGGTCTATGATCCACTCTGAGTTAATTCAAATGTATCATCTTAACCATTTTAAGTGTACAATTCAGTGGTATTAAGTAATGTTGTGTAACCATCACTATTATATTTTCAGAAGTTTTTCAACATCTCAAACACAAACCCTATATCCATTAAATAATAACTCGCTATTCTTCTTCAACCCTATCCCCTAGTAATCTGTGTTTTACTTTCAATCCCTATGAATTTGCCTAATCTTGGTACCTCATATTAGTGGAATTATACAATATTTGTCCTTTTGTGTCTGGCTTATTTCACTTTATATGTTTTCAAGGTTATCCATGTTGTGGCATGTATCAGAATTTCATTTTTGCCCTGGCTGGTGTGGCTCAGTTGGTTGGAGTGCTGTCTGCTACACAAAAAGGGTGCAGGTTCAATCCCTGGTTGGGGCGTGTGTGGGAGGCAACTGATCCATGTTTCTCTCCCTTTTCCTCCCTCCAAGATCAATTTTTTTAAATGATCATTAAAAAAATTTCACTGAGGATAAATAAAATTCCATTATATGTATATACCACATTGTTTATCCATTCACTCTTGATGGATACTTGGGTGGCTTCCACCTTTTGACCTTCGTAAATAATGCTTCTTTTGGGTATATACAGGAAAGTAGAAGAACTAGATCACAATGGTAATTCTGTGTTAAACTTTTATAGCAACTGCCAAACTGTTTTCAATAACACTGCGCCATTTTTATTTATTGTATTTATCTATTAATTTCATCCATCCCCCACCCCCTCCCATTTGGCAACCCTCACCTTTTTCTCTATATCTATGGATCTGTTTCTGTCATGTTTTATTTATTAATTTGTTTTGTTCTTTTAGATTCTACATATAAGTGAAGTCATGTTGTTTCTCTTTCTCTATCTGACTTATTTCACTTAGCATAACACCCTCTTGGCTCATTCATGCTGTTGCAAATGGCAAGATTTCATTATTTTTTATTGATGAGTAATATTTCATTGTGTGTATATACACATACAGACACCACATCTTTATCCATTAGTCTACTGATGGACACCTTTCCATATTTTGTCTATCGTTAAGTACTGATACAATGAACATAGGGGTGCATATATTTTTTCAAATTAGTGTTCTTGTTTTCTTCAGATAAATATCCAGAAGTAGAATTGCTGGGTCATATGGCATCTCTGTTTTTAATTTTTTGAGGCCTCTCCACACTGTTTTTTTATAGTGGCTATAACAGCAGTGCCACCAGCAATGCATCAGTTCCAACGTTTCCACATCCCTTCCAATATCTGTTACTTTCCCTTTTCGGATAATAGCCAAACCAGTGGATATGGAGTGGTACATCATTGTGGTTTTGATGTACATTTCTCTAATGACCAATAACATTAAGTACTTTGTCATTATTTCCTTGTTGGTCATTTGTACATATTCTTTAGAGAAATATCTATTCAAGACCTATTTTTGATGTTATTTTGTTGTTGCTGTTGAGTACTTCTTTAGATGTTCTAAAATTTAATCCTTCCTTAGATATGATTTGCATATATTCTCCCATTCTATGAGTTGCCTTTTTTATTGTGAGTTGTCGTTTTTACTCTCTTGATAGTGTTCTTTGATATACAATAGTTTTTAATATTGATAAAGTCCGTTTTATTATTATTTCTTGCTGTCTTTGCTTTTGGTGTCATATCTAGGAAATCATTGCCAAATCCACTGTCATGAAGATTTTCCCCATGTTTTATTTAAGAGTTTTATATTTTATAGTTTTAGCTCTTATGTTTAGGTCTTTCGTCCACTGAGTTAATTTTTTTTGGTCTGGTTTAAGGTAAAGTCCCAACTTTATTAATTTACATGTTTAGTATTCCCAGAATATTTGTTGAAAACACTGTGCAGCCCTAGCTGGTTTTGCTCACTGGTTAGAACATGGGCATGAGAAATAAAGAGCTGCAGTTAAAGGGCCACAGATTCAATTCCCAACAAGAGCACATGCCTCAGTTGCAGGTAAGCATCATCCCATGCACCAAAAGGGTGCCAGTTCAATTCCTGGTCAGGGCACATACCCAGGTTGCAGGGTCAATCCCCAGTAGGGACGTGCAAGAGGCAGCCAATTGATGTTTCTCTCTCCCTTTCCCTTCCTCTCTCTAAAAAATTAATAGAAACATATTTTTTGAAAAAGACTGTCTTTTCCCATTGAATGTTTTTAGCATTCTTGTCAAAACTCAAATGAACATACATATGCTATGGTTTGTTTTTGGGTTCTCTATTCTATTCCATTGGTTTAAACGTCTATCCTCAAATACTCTTTGAATAAATAAAGGAGAAGGGAAAGGCAGTCAATTTGAACTTTAACATCAACTTGTTTTTGTTGCCTTGTTCATAATTCACTTTACCTCCATAACTGTTTCCTCTTTTATTAAATGAGGGACTGAAATGAAGGACTCTTACAATTCCAACAATCTTATGATATTACACTCAAGGTTTTCCTCAATATAGTAGTTATACCATACACTCCTAATTTGTCAAATAGTCATGAAATATTTCTAAAACTACAAATGACTAAGTTCAATAATTTAAAGTGTATAATATATACCTTCAATATCTGAAACTATTAGCATCTGAGGTTGAGAGAGACCTTCTTGAAGACTGTAGAAGTGGATTGTACTATCAAATGTTATGAAGCCAATTTTTGTCCTAGTGTTGCCAGGAAGCCTAAAAATAAATTTAGAAAAGTATTAAATCAAGTTTTCTCATATACATATACACATATATTAAATATCTAAGAGTTAACATGTAACTATCTCCTTTTCTATTACGGAAATTGTCCCAACATAAATGTTTAACCTGCCCAATGTTTAATCATCATGAAAACATACTCTACTCAAGTGAAAACATTACACATAAACCAAACAATCAACAAAATCCAGTAATAATACAGCGATTCAAAACTCATTACACCTATATATAATTATACAATCACTTGGGAAATGGCATATAAAAATCCTGGAAAGCATAAATAAAACTTTGTAGATGGTTTAAATTTATAAAAATACATTATAGTCTGGCTGGTGTGGTTCAGTGGTTGAACATCAATCCAGGAACCAAGAGGTCAATTCCCTGTCACGGCACATGCCCAGGTTGCAGGAATAATCACCAGTAGGAGGGCAGGCAGGTGGCAGCCAATCGATGATGTTTCTCTCTCATTGATGTTTCTATCTCTCTCCCTTCCTCTCTCACTAAAAATCAATAAAAACACATGTATTTTTTTAAATCCAACTTACTTTTCCAAAATTTTATTTTTTTTAATGTTTTTAAAAATTTACTTCAGAGAAAGGAAGGGAGAGGGAGAGAGAAACAGAAACATCAATGATGAGAAAGTCACTGATTGGCTGCCTCCTGCACACCCCCTGCTTGAGATCAAGCCCAAAACCTAGGCATGTGCCCTGACTGGGAATCGAACCTCAGTCTCCTGGATCATAGGTCAATGCTCAACCACTGAGCCACGGTGGCTGGGCTAAATACTTATTTAAAAAAAAATACATTCCAAATTACTATATACCAACTCTAAAATGTAATAGAAATTTAGGTACTGCGTATGTTTTTAAAATTTTACCCATGCTTGGGTGAATTGGTGGACTCTTCCTCAACAATCCCCATATGCAACGTACAACATTAAAAGTACAATTGCTAAAGAAGAAGAATCTCGTACCCTTTGGGACAATATGGATGGACCTGGAGAATATTATGCTAAGTGAAATAAGCCAGGCAGCGAGAGAAAAATATCACATGATCTCGCTTATACGTAGAATCTAAAGAACTTAATAAACTGATGAACAGAATAGATTCAATGACATGGAAGCATAGATGAGACTGATGAATGTCAGAGGGATGGAGGAGGGCGGGTGGGTGGAGGGGGAGAGAGTAACCAAAGAATTTATGTGCATATATACACAACCCAAGGACATGGACAATGGTGGAGAGAGGGACTGGGGAGGGGGAAGGAACAGGGTGGAACGGGTCATTGGGGAGAAAAAGGGACATCTGTAATATTTTAAACAATAATAAAATTAAAAAAAAAAAAAAGTGCAATTGCTAGCAAGAACAAGGATGCCCCTTATTGTCAAGGTGAAGGAGTTAATCTGTTTCTGATGAGATTAGGTTTTCCACATTCTTCCATAGAATACAAGTATACTATAATTCATTATGATAAAAGGTCACACGAGCATTAACAGGTTATTCTAAGTATCTAAGCACCATTTAAAGTACAGATATTTTTTAAAATAAACAAATAAAAAGTAAAGCACAAATATTTTAGAGACTTAAGAGCTATGACAGTCAAATGCAATGTATGAATACAGTTTAGGTTCTTATCCCAACAAACCTACAGTAAAGAAGCACTTTTGAGACAACCAGGAACAAAAAGTGAACTGGGTATTCATTAGTATTATGAAATTATTGCTAATTCTGACTGGTGTTGACACTCGTATTTTAGTTAGGACTAAAATAATTCCAAGTATTTATAGGTAAGATGATATGCTGATTGAGATTTACATTAAAATACTCAAGAGGGGAAAAGGTATTTGTGTGTGATTACGTGAAGCAAGAACACTTGACCAGTGTGGCTCAGTTGGTGGGTATGTCCTGTACACCAAAAGGTGGTGGGTTCAATTCCCAGTCTGCACACATACCCCGGTTTTGGGTTAAATCCCCAAAAGTTGGGGACTGTGCAGGAGGCAACCAATTGGTATCCTCCTCCCCCTCCTTCCCTCCCTTCCTCTCTTAAGATTAAGAAAGAAAAAGAATAGCTAAATGCTAAAAATGTTGAGGGAGGAGGGATGGAATCTGAAAGTTCATTACATTCTTTCTATTTACTGTATGTTTAAAATTTTTCCATAATAAAAAGTTAATACAGAATTTCACAGAAAGCAAGGCTAAAGTTCACAACTGATTTAAGCAGGCTTTTAGAACATATTTAAATAGCTTTTTTTTTGTATTTTATAACTACTTATCCATTTTGAAAACACTATTAGTTTCCAACTGAAGCTGAATTAAGATACTTACAAATCCAGATTCTCTAGCAAACTCTGGCAAACTGAATTCAAGTATCCAGTTTCAACTGCATTGTGAGACACATCAAATACAAAGAGGTACACTGGAGGTTGAGGTGGCCGTAACTGAAGAAAAAATGGATTTCATTAAATACAATTAATAGGATTAAACTTAAAATTATCATTTGTCATGTCCACATACAACAAAACAATAAAATGAGCATTATTTAGAGATTAAATGGAGACTATACTAAACAATGAATTAAGAAAATAATATAGAAAGAACAGAAATTTTAAAAATAGGCAAAACTATATTATACAGTTTTCAGATGCATACTTAGGGGGGGAAATGAGAATATGATTGCATTAGTTAGAAAAGTGTTTTCTCCAGGATGGGAAGGGAAGGAAACGTGAACAGAAGGACTTCTGGGAATGTAAGCAATGTTCAATTTCTTGATCTGGGTGGTGCTAACATAGCGTTTATAATTACTTGGTATCCTATATATTTTTGTTTTGTAGACTTTTCTATATGTGCATTATATTTCACAACTTTAGGGGAATTACAGTTCTGAAAGTAACAAATTAAGTTACCTGAGCTGGTTATTTCACAAACACACTTTGGCCAAGTTTCACAAAAATGTACAACTATATCTTTAAACTTCCAAATTCAAAGATCTGTTTTGAATTCAATAAAAAGCATCAAATAACCACAGCCAGAACTGGTCATATAGTGTACTAACTTTTATATATTTTTTGCACGTATCTCTTGCTGAATCATAGAATCTGTTGCCCAAGAGATAAGTCGGGAAGAAGCAAAATCTTTTGCTATAGGCAAGTTCCAAATTTAAAGAAAGCCATTTTTGCAAAACCTGGGAGATAAAAGAAAAGAAACCCAGGAAGGCCAATTCAAAAAATGCTTCTGCATTTTTTTGCTTTTAATTCAACAAAAGAACAGCTACACTGTAGAAAGCTATCACCAACCATTAAGCATCACAAAAATGTTTTCTACACTGAAATTTCTCTGTGGTGAAAAGATATGGAACCCTCATCATTTCTATACTAAAATGCTCCAATTGCTCAGGTAGAGAAAGACTATCTCACAAAAATATACTAAAATAGATTAAAAGTTAATGTTAAGTCCTATCTTCATATTCCTTTTTCCTTACAAGCAATTATGGCATGGCGAAAGAGCAACCAAATCAAAAGACCTGGAATTTAATGCAAGCTCTATCAATTATTAAAAGATATTTGGGCCTGGACGGGCGTGGCTCAGCAGTTGAGCATCGACCTAGGATCCAGGTGATCGGGGTTCAATTCCCGGTCAGGGCATATGCCCGGGTTGCGGGCTCGATCCCCAGTTGGGGGCGTGCAGGAGGCAGCTGATCAATGACTCTCTCATCATTGATGTTTCTCTCTCTCCCTCTCCCTTCCTCTCTCTGAAATCAATAAAGATATATTTAAAAAAAAAAAAAAAGAAGGTACTTTAAAAAAAAAAAAGATATTTGGCAAGTCACTTAACCTAATAAGTCTATTTCACATCTGTAAAACAGAATTAAGTGTATTTCTTTAGCTTTGTAATGATTAAAAATATAAGTGCTTTATAAAATATAAAGTGCTAATTAAACATTAGCATAATTATTATTTTTAAAATACAAGACCTCAGATACTCACATAAGTGTATAAAAGTACTTGCAAGCCCTGGCCATTGTGGCTCCATGGTTAGAGCATTGACCTACTCACTGAAGGGTTGGAAGTTCAATTCCTGGTCAAGGGCACATACCTGGGTTGCAAGTTTGATCCCTAGCCCCGACTGAGTGCAGGAGGTAACCAACTGTTTCTCTCTCTCCCTCTCTCTCAAAATCAATAGAAAAAATGTCCTCAGGTGAGGATTAACAATAACAAAAAAAGTACTTGCAAGAGGATGCTCATCACACAATTATTTGTAATAAAAAAGTAAAAAATTGGGGCCAGCTGGCGTGGCTCAGTGGTTGAGCACCAGCCTATGATCCAGGAGATTGAGAATCAATTCCCGGTGAGAATACATGACTGGGTAGTGGGCTCGATCCCCAGCAGGGGAAGTGCAGGAGGCAGCCCATCAATGACTCTCTCTCCCTCTCCCTTCCTCTCTCTGAAATCAATAAAAATATATTAAAAACAAAAAAACTGGCCCTTAGCCAGTTTTGCTCAGTGGCTAGAGCATCGGATCACAGACTGAAGGGTCCCAGGTTCGATTCTGGCCAAGGGCACTTACCTCAGTTGCAGGCCCGATCCCCAGCCCCATTTAGGTTAAGTGTGGGAGGTGAGGCAACCAATCAATGTTGTCTCTCTCTCCCCCTTCTGCTCTCTCTGAAAGACAGTGGAAAAAATATCCTCTGGTGAGGATTAAAAAAAAATTGGAAGTAACTTAAAAGTAAGTATGTTCCCAATATGATATTGCAAATTTCTGGATGAACACACAAGAAACATAAGTGGAACTTTACATACACTTTTCAGACTTATCCTTATATACTAATTAACTACTTTTATAATGAACATGTATAACTTTTATAAATTTAAAACCATAAAATTTTGTTAAAGGATGCTATATTGTTTTATTTAAACCCACTATTATGAGATAAATAAGGTATATAAAAAAATGAAAACTTACCATGTATTCTGAAGGAGCCATAAACTCAATTGTAGCATTCTGAACTTCAGGTCTTCTGTGAGGTTCTCCATAGGCTCTGGTTGAAGGGTTGTACATGAATTCTTCGGGAACTACGTAAGTTAACAACATATAATGATAAAACTGAAAGATTAAGTTTAATAAACCTTGTGTTTGGCTGTTTTCTTATTTAGTAATTTATAAATACTTTAATATAGACTAAATGTTACGGGATAATATATACACTTGGTTTTTGAGATCCATTCAAGTTCCCCATATACTAAATGGCCCTATGTATGTCTTCTTTGATAACTAAATCACTGTGAGTTGTTTTTCCCCGTTTTCTAATATCCTCTTCATCTTAATTATCCTCTTCATCTTTAATTTTTTCCCCCCGTGTATTTTTGTTTAAAATATTACAAATGTCCCTTTTTCTCCCCAATGACCCATTCCACCCTGTCCCACCCCCCTCCCCAATCCCTCTCCCCACCATTGTCCGTGTCCTTGGGTTGTGCATATATGCATATAAATTCTTTCGTTAATCTCTCCCCCTCCACCCACCCGCCCTCCTATCCTCTTCATCTTAATTCTTACTAGAGCGACTTTTCTAAAATAGTTTGAAAAAAAGATAAAAACTCATTAAACGTCAATCATTTTCTTAACAAGAATATTAACATTTGACACAGAATATGTACAGACTCTGGATGCTCCTAAAAAGCTATGGTAAAAACACTTCAAAGTTTAAAGTCTAAGAGTTTGGTGAATTTTATTAATTAATGAGACCTCTATGGAGTAACAGTTGTCTACCACTTATAACACAATGGAGCTCAGAGAGTATTTTCTAAATGAATTACCATTGCATCTGTCTTCCCACTAACTGCTTAGAAATTCAAATTCCTATGTATCTAAAGGGTAAGCCACAGTTCATTAAATGGTCTGGGCTGCATATGAAAGTGACTTCAACCTTTATTACAATTTCATTTCATATACTGAAGCACATATACATAAGATTTTAAAGGTGTACTGAACACTATACATTTATTTTCTGAATTATTATAGAATAAAAAGAATGCTCTTACTCTATCCTCACTTTCCTCTACTCTTTTACTGGTGACCTCTTGGTTCATGGGTCAACGCTCAACCACTGAGCCATGCTGGCCAGGCTCCACTACTCTTAAAAAATACAAACAACAAAATTGATTTTTTTTTTGGCCCTGGCCAGGTAGCACAGTTGCTTAGAGTGTCGTCTCGATACGCCTAGGTTGTGGGTTCAATCCCCAGTCAGGGCACATACAGAATCTACCAATGAATGCATAAATAAGTGGAACAATAATTCAATGTCTCTCCCTCTCTCTCTCTCAAATCAATAAATAAAGAAAACTTTAAGTGCTTTTTAGAGATATCTTAAATTCCTTTATTTCCCAATGCTTAATGAAATTTCCTTCCAAGCAGAGACTTAAATTTCAATGTGGGTATCAGCATACCCTTTTGCTTCTATAATCCTATTAAAGTGTTGGTTAGATGATGTTCCTCAAAAATAAACTGCAAAACAACTGAAAGAGATCTCCTCCTCCTCAATTACTGAGAAAACTACATTCAACTAACCTTCTAGCACTGCCCACCCTCACTTCATACAGCAGTGAATGAAGCTAATGCCAGCTATTCTGTGAACTTATTTTCTTTTACCCTAGAGCATCGATTTTCAACCTTTTTCATCTCACAGCACACATGAAATAATTACTAAAATTCTGTGGCACAACAGAAAATATACTTTTTGTCAATCTGACAAAAAAAAATTAAGTATAACTTTGATTCTTTCACACCAGACGGCTATTGTTGTGTTGGCTGTTGTCGTTTTTTATTTGACAATCCAAGGGAAAAGAGGTCAATGCCTCTGACTAAACAGTCAGGTATTGTATGTTTCAAAAATTCTTGCCACACACTGGTTGAAAATCGCTGCCCTAGAATAAAGGCATAAGAAATATAAAAATATTTCTTAAATTACAGGCTTAAATAATACCATAAAATATGTTATTTATTATATACCCAATATAATAAATGTAAAAAGTGGTATCAGAGTAATATTATCACTTTTTTTGCTTAAGAAGTGTATAATTATTTATATGTAAGAATAAGTGCATAAAAAAAAGTTAACAGAAGCTATCTCTGAGTGGAACAATTATCGGTAAATAAGGGTTGTTGATTTTTTTTTTTAACTTCACATTCGTATTATCCAATTTCCCTACCATGGAAGTAGAAATTTTAAAATGTTTCAAAAAAACATACCATCATTGACTTGGTAACATAAGTTACACTTCCATCTCCTTTGATCAAGAAAGCTGACAAAAGGGTTGATGTATGTCCTGCATGAACGGCATCTCACAATTGTACTGGAGGTAACCACAGGCAATTGCTGAAAAAACAGAACTAATTTTTTTAAGGCAGTGATCATCATGACTAAAGGTGAAGCATTAATTATACCTTCCAAACAATTGTTGGAATATTATAATTTTACCCTGGGAGAAAAAAACCCAGGCTAAAAAGATGTGTCCAAAGTGTCACACACACAAAAATTAGTTAGCAGAAAGGTATTGAAATGAAGTCCTATTGCTTTTCTCCAGGGTTGGTCTCTTAAATTTTACCTTTTAAAAAGTATTTATTTTCTCATTAAACATTTACACTGCAAAACCAACACAGAAAATTTACAATGTATTTTTGAGATGAGTGGCAAAGGAATGATCAACATTCTAAAACAAAGGACCAACAAAATTATCTGAAAGTTTCTTTATGTTACATTAAGAGGCTTACTAAGCTCTCATGAAAGAATGGTCATATTCAACTATTCAATTAAACTCTGCAATTATGTTCCTATATACAGTTTATGCTACATTAAAAAAAAAGCCATAAAGTCTTAATATAAAAACATCAGTAAAGGCAGTAAAATCCTATCATCAAAAGGAGGTTTGTTGCCCGGCCAATGTTGCTCAGTGGTTGAGCATCAGCCCATGAACCTGGAGGAAGTGGTTCGATTCTCAGTCAGGGCACATGCCGGGGTTGCAGGCTCAATCCCCAGTGGGGGGCATGCAGAAGGCAGCCAATCAATGACTCTCTCATCATTGATGTTTCTCTCTCTCTCCCTCTCCCTTCCTTTGTCTGAAAACACATTTTTTAAAAAAAGAAAAAAAAGTTTGTTTTGCGAAAATCAATTCATTTACGCACTGATCCTCTCAAAAGTATATGGCCATATGTCAAGATCCCAGAGCCTTAGGACAAAAGTGAAAGGGCTTTTGGGGGGGAGGGGCCAGGTAGTTCAGAAGGATTTGGGTTCCTTTTTGTAAACAGCTTCTTAAAGCAACACATTTTATTCCAAGAATGGCAGAGCTGGGAGACTGAGTAAAGTATTTTAATAGGTAAATAATTTATAACTTTTAAAAATAATATGATTGACTTATTTCTTTTATTATCTCTATTCTATTCAGTACCTCTTAGATTTTTCAATAATATGCTTATTTTACTTCACTTTGAAAGTGTTTGGTACTAAAATTTTTGGTTACATTACAAACAAAACAATTTGTCAATGGTCAAATTCCTGAAGACAGATCAAACAAATTCTGTATGTGATTCTTGCGCTATCGTAAAAATTGCTCACCACAATGATAATTTTCTCCAAGACATTTACTTTCACTAATGAAACATACCATTAGGTCTTTGAAAGGATGAAGCAGCAGTCCCAAAGGAAGTTTGGCTTTATTCAGTAAGGCCTGAGTCTGAGGAATGCTAGTCAATGTGCATCGAAATAACCTATAGGAAAGTAAAAATGATGTATCCGTTGTTACTATGATTACTTTTGAACAAAAAGAAAAGATTTAAAAGGTACACATTTTAACAGTGAATCAGAAAACAAATAAAATATTTCAAGGGGCTCTCTCAAATTTTATACCATTTCAATACTTAAGTCCTATTCAGAAAGAGAAGGTACATGGTTACAATCTCTATTATATAACTAAAGGAAAGTCTCTTCTCTGCTTGTAAGACGGTCTAGACTATCAAATGACCCATTTCTTAATATAAATCTAGATTACACTAGTAATCTAGTGTAATCCAAATTGGATCATCATCCAAGGTGATGATCCAAATTTGCTGAAAAGTTCAGCTTTGCTGAAGGTTCTAATATACTATTTATAACAAAATTCAATTTATTGGAACAGCTTCACTATTACATTTAAATTTATATGGTCAATTTTAAGGGAGAAGGAGTATTATAATTATGCTTGTTATAAAACACAATTTAAAATGAGAGCAAATAAAGAATTATAGAATCAAATCTCCGTACTGTAGACTGAAGAAACAATATAGCCACCATGATAATGAATGTCATAGTACCATTACAGGTGATTAGGGCAGCAATCACCCCAGGGGTTGCAACCCTATTTCTGCACTGAGAACATTTCAAATACCAATTAAGTAAACAACTTGCTCATAAATACAACTCCAAAAAAATCTGGAAAAGTTTTAGAATGAGTAAAATATAAGAAACACTAAAGCCTTACTCTGGGTTACAGTTGAGTCTCTGGATATCTTCATGCAAATTTGGAACTGGAGGCTGCAAAGGTGTTGCTGGAAGCATGTTTCTCTCGTGAAGAAGATTAATAACTCTTAGCCCTTCTGGATGTAGACTTAATCCACTCATGCTTGCGGTTAAATTATTAGCACCTAAGGGAGTCTAAAGATATATAATTTCAAAGTAGTAAGTAGCCTTTATAATGTCTTCAGTTGAAAACAGAAGTGTATAAGGGCCTAGTTACTTAATTTCTCTCTAAATAAAACTGTAATCTAGATTTTCTGGTCAAATTTTTTTGGTTCTGGAAATATGTAACAGGACATAGGTCTTATGAAATAGCCATTATTATTCTAATTGGTTTAAAATGTTCATTATACACTTTCTAAAACTTTTTCATGTATATACAGTTTAAATCAAAAGGTGGAAAATAAGTAAAAAAACAAAAACAAAAAGTTTACCTGGGTAAAGGCCTGTGGCCCACTTGGATAGTTCAAGGAAGAAGGTGGCATTCCAGCTGTATTAGGTGGTTGTGTGTTCTGATAACCAGGTGGTAAGGAGGGATATGAATATCCAACACTTCGGTTCACTGTAGGATTCTTATTAGTAAGCTGTGGTGTTGCTAGAAACAAGGTAACTTTTAAGTTCTATTTTATACTCCAGAATACTTAAAATCAACACATAGATCCATTAAATTATAGGCATTATAACTCTAAAATCCTTTGGATAATTTAATACTTTCATTTATCAGTTTTGTAAAATATGACAAACACTAGCAACAAAGTAACAGCAATGATTAAAATCTATTTAATGTAGGTTACAACTATAAACACAAAAATTAAGTTTGGTACAGCTAATTTACTTTCACATGTACTAAACTTTGTATTCAGATGAAAATTCTTATCCAAAACAACTTTAATGAAAACACACTAAATGTTCAACTGGTTAAGTAAATTTAAATAGATCTAATTGAGCCTGGCCGGGCGTGTCTCACCAGTTGAGCATCTACCTGGGATCCAGGAGATCACTGTTCAATTCCCAGTCAGGGCACATGCCCGGGTTTCGAGCTTGATTCCTGGTCAGGGGCGTGCAGGAGGCAGCCAATCAATGATAACTCTCTCATCATTGATTTTTCTCTCTCTCTCTCTTTCCCTCTCCCTTCCTCTCTCTGAAATCAATAAAGATATATTTTTTAAAAATCTAATTGATAAAAATACTCAATAGTCATAACAACATCATAATAAAGCCCACCATCCCAATTCTGAGGGGGAAAACTAACAAAAAAAATCTATATGCATGGAGATAAAAAATGCTAATAGTAGTTATTATTGTGGGACATGATTATGAAGATTTCTTCTTTGTTTCCTAAAATGAACAAATATATTTTTTAAAAAACTTTCATAGCATCTCACCCAAGAAGCCACCGCCTTCAATTTCATCATAACTATTGTGAACCACCATAGATCCATTATTGGTACTTGATGTAATACCTAAGAAGAAAGTTTATTAATATTTACATTAGGACAATTGTTACAATTTCTACAAGGTTGGAGCTGATTTAAGATAACTTTTCAAATGACAAATATAGTTTAAACCGACAAATATAGTTTAAAAATTTAGAATTAATTTTAAGATGATATAAATTAATTAGAACTGCTTTAGTCTAGAGAACTACCACTAATTTTTTTTTTTAAATCTTAACTTGTTTCCCTCTCAATTTGAAGAGTTAAAAGTTAAATGCCAGAGACATCTGCTTATGAAGAGTAAAAATTTACTTCTATGTATATATGCTATTTATGAGCTCTAATCCAGGTACAGAAGAAACAGAAATCAGTGAATAGCATCACCTTTTAGTACTTAAGTACAAAGGTGCTAACATTATTAATTATTTTAACACCAAATAGATAAGTTTAAAAGTTTCAATATAGTTGGTAACTTCTAATTCTCAAGACCACCATCATTTTAGCTATGAGCTAATACAGAAAACTTATTAAAACTGTTTGCAGAGAGCAACCGATTGATGTTTCTCTCACAATGATGTTTCTCTTTCTTTGCTTTCTTCTCTCTCTAAAAATCAATAAAAATGTATTCTCTGGTGAGGATTAAAAAAAAAATACTTTGCAGAAACAAACAAAAACATTGTATATATTTTTAGTTGGTTAAAATTTTAAATAGTGTGGCAACCAGTGAAACATTGCTTTATCATTTTTGTTATTCATCATTAATACCATTCTTTTCAAACTACTCAAATCTTTTTCCCCCTACTTATAATTCTAAAAAAATGAAATGCTAGAAAAAAATATTTATTGTATTTAGTAGTAGGAAGTGGGCAATGGTTTTTTTCCCTTCTTTTCTGTTTTCTTGTTTCCACATCTTGCTGCAATGGTTATATTACTGCTAAAATCAAATCTCTTACTTTACAAAATATTTTTTTAAATTAATAAACATATTTTAAAGTTACAGCTGAAGAAGACATCTGTAATACTTTCAACAATAAAGATAGATTTTAAAAAATAAAAAAAATTTTTAAAGGTTAAAAAAATAATAAAGTTACATCTGAAGGCAATGCTTTAAATTAATTTATACAAAACTTCAAAATGCTTGTATATTTAACTTTTTATTTAGACTCATAAATATTTGCTAATATTTACAATAACAGTGGCAATCAAAATACTGCTTCCATGGAAAAGAGTCAATATATTAAAAAAATAGTTCTAATACCACGTCCAGAAAAGCAGGAACTCTCCTCTCACCTCCCTCTCCCGAAAGGCACCTAACTTTATAACCACAGCAATAAAAAAAAAAGTAAACAGCAGTGGTTCCCAAATGCTAGTCCACAGCACAGCATACATAGAACAGTGGAACTCTGAGGAACTTCTTTAAACTCTAAATTTCTGAAGGCCAATCCTAGCCAAAACAACTAGATTTTCTGGGAAAATATGATACATATGCACACATTTCAGATAACATTCATCCTTCTACCCTAGGTCAAATCTTTAGGACTTGACTTGGTTTTACCATGCTTACCTTCTTGGTTGATAGGTGAATTAAATGCGGGCTGGGGCACAGCCCTATGTGATGATTTCTGAGGACTAAGGGCCCTCACTGGAGGTGGCCCTCCAGGCGGAGGAGGCCCAAGCGGAGCTCCTGGTTGGAAAGTGGTAGGCAGAGGTGGGTTCACTAAGGGGGGTGCAGAACCTATGGAAACATTGGTTTTTCACATGTACTTAAGAATTTAAGACAAAGGCCAAAACAGCCTTTTACCAAAGCTGAGTAACTTCGAAATTTTCATTTTAATTACAATCACCAACAAATTACCAGAAATACGTTAACTTCCCAGGTTTATGACTTAATTTATATGCATACTTTACCATCTTTCCAAGTCTCTCCTACAGCGCTTCTAACTTGTCAATTATTAAAGCAGTATAAGTAGTATAAGAACTCAGCATCAAATCACTTATAGCATACAGTGCTCTATTGATTTTTTTTTTTACCCCTGTTACTTTCTTTCTTTTTTCTTTTTTTAAATGTCTTTATTGATTGAAAGAGGAAGGGAGAGGGGGAGAGAGAGAGATATAAATGTCAATGATGAGAAAGTCATTGATCAGCTGCCTCCTGCACGCCCCCTACAGGGGATGGAGCCCTCAACCTGCGCATGTGTCCTGACCGGGAATTTAACCGCAATTTCCTGGATCACAGGTAGATGCTCAGCCACTGAGCTACGCCAGCTGGGCTAATTTTTCATTGACTGATGCCAGAGTTTCAACAGGCCATGTCAAATATTCCAGTAAAAATTAACATGAATTTAAAATTTTATTAATGTTCTATTAATATACTCCATTCAGTTAACACTGATTAGGTTTAGAGTTAGCTTTGTAAAACTGCAAAGTATTGTGATTACTCTAAATTCTCCAAGTTTTATTTCATTTTGCTTCATTTTTATTGGGGGGTATAACCTGTTAAAAATGAGATTGTAAATTTGAACTCTGTTCAATAACCTAGTAACAATTAAAAGATTACTTTCAATAATGGTTTAAATACTACATTAAGAACACTCCCTGAGCTTAAAAACTAGGAAACGATCCAAAGTTTATGCATATGCCTCAAAATCACTGCTATCCAAGAGGTATCAAAATACTCATCAAACTAAACTAAGAATGACATAGTATTTGTATCCACCAGTATTCTTACTGCCCCAATTTCACCAATTTTCTATTAGGACAATTAAGTTCCAGCTAGTAAAAAACATTAGCAATTACTCTTGGGAAAATTCTTCTATGTGATACCCAAAGTTCCAAAACCCACAATACTGCTTCCAACTTCTCATTTGCCAAAGAGAAGAAACAAAGTCCATAAAGTAGATAAAATACTGATAAGTATGTGATTTAATTTTTCATCCCAAGGCTTTTTTTAATCCTCTAAATTTGTAAGTGAAATAAGTACTACATTTTACTTTATAATATATTCTAGTTAACCCTGTATTTTGTAAAACTAAAGGAATAAAGATAGGCAAATAACAAAAATGTTCAATATGCTTTTTCAATAGTGTTCAATTTTCCAGGGCCAAAATGAAAAATTATCGTAGTACTAAACCTTATAGCTCCCAACAAGACTAATCAGTGCCCTGTTGACAAAAGTGAAGACAAAGATTACTACCATGTAACTCCCTTATCAAAGAAGCACACATATGCCTTTCATATCTTTGGCAATACAGACAAGTCAAAGGAACAAAAGGGCAAGGTACAATACCAACTCAGCATGAACAAGAGTGTATGATACATCTGGCCACAAAAATGTAACAACCTAATGTTTAACAGCATACCAAGTGAATTTACAGAGATTTTTCACAGCTTTAAAAAGAATGTTTTTTAATCCAAAAATATGCTACATTTCATAGGATAGACATTTTTTCAAGCTGCATAACTCTTTTTAAAAAAATACATATTTTATTGATTTCAGAGAGAGGAAGGGAGAGGGAGAAAGAGGCAGAAACATCAATGATGAGAGAGTCATTGATCAGCTTCCTCCTGCATGACCGCTGCTGGGGATTGAGTCTGCAACCCAGGCATTTGCCCTGACCGGGAATCAAACCACAAACTCCTGGATCATAGGTCAATGCTCAACTGCTGAGCCACGCCTGGCGGGGCAAGCTGCATAACTGTAATTTATAACACTAATAACTAAAGTTTTAGAACCTGTCTTCTAAGATCCCTAAAGCTATATGTGGACTAGAAACTTAGTATAACTTAGATACAGTTTTGAAATCAGACAATCAGGCACCTACTATCAATGATGGGTTGAAAAAACAAAGGTAAAAAAATGAAGAGTTTTTTTAGAGATCTCATAAAAAAAAGAAAGGTAGGCATACATTTATTTTAGCTTGATTTTATTAGTTTATGTATCTTTCTACTTCTTTTACTTGGAAACCTTCATAAGCTGGCACTTGCTATTCTCTTCCACCACACCTATGCTACAGTCAAGGTGCTCTACCTGAAGGTTTCTGTTGTAGCCAAAAATATTTCAGATTATTGATCATGTGCTTTTAAACAAGAAGGTATACCTATTTTTAAATAGTTTTTATACAGTACCTGTTTCCAAATTATTTTCTTGTGGCTTTGGGTAAATTATTCAAGCCTCAGATTTCTTACTTGTAAAAGAGACTGATGTGAAAATTAAGATAACACATATAACACATATAAAAGTTTGGTAAAGCGCTTGAAAATAATAAATATTAAATAAATGTTACCTATAATTATTAATAATGAAGTAATTATTCATTAATTTCAAGTGATTGATGCTCACTTGTGGTGTCAAATGAGTAAGAATAAAAGTAACCGGGAAACCAGAAGAATTTTGGTCCGAACAATTGTGGGTCAAAAAATTTCTTCAAAGAATCTAAGACATAGCCCTTACTCTTTATAAGGCCAAAATGCATTCACCAGGGCCAATGGCTGGTCAAGAAGCTAAGAAAAATAAATAGTTTCAGCAGTTAACAAACTACAAGCCTGATGAACTGTATATAGTATATGCAGAAATACATATGAGTATAAAAAGGTAATCATTGATATTATATTTCACTTGTATGCTCTTACTAGTTTATTTCCTTGAGGATGTCTGCTGAGCACAATCAACCTGCAGATCCCAATACAGAATTTTAAGTGTTTTTCAAATTAACAATACTAATGCTGATAAGTGTATAAGACAAATTTTAATAGTTAAATGAACCTACTTTTAAACCAGGTATGACCGAACATTGAGGTTAAAAATAAAAAGATAAAAGTCAGTCCAAGAATATACAGATTTCTTCCCAAACTGATGTACAGCCAAAACTATCTTGAAAAAGAAAAACCAAGTACTGGGTCAGACTTCCCAAACTCAAAGCTCACTACAAAGCTACAGTAATCAAGATGTTTGGTGCTGGTATAAAGATATAGACATATAAAATCAATGAAATAAAATTCAGAGTCCAGAAATAAACCCTTACATTTATGATCAACTGATTTTCAACAAGGGTGCCAAGATAATTCAATGGGAGAAAGAATAGTTTATCAAATAGTCCTGGGACAACTTTATATGCACATGCACAAGAATCAAGTTGAGCCCAGCCGGTATAGGTCAGCGGTTGAGCATCAACCTATGATCCAGGAGATCACTGATCGATTCCCAGTCAGGGCACATGCTTGGGTTGCAGGCTCAATCCCCAGCGGGGGTTGTGCAGAAGGCAGCTGATCCATGACTCTCTCTCATCATTGATATTTCTCTCTCCCCTCCCCCTTCCTCTCTCTGAAATCAATGGTATTAAAAAGAAAAAAAGAATGAAGTTGAACACCTAACACCATATAAAAAAGTTAACTCAAAATTGATCAAAGACCTAAATGTAGGAGCTAAAACTATAAAACTCTTAGAAGAAAACATAAATATAAATCTCTGTCCACTGCTTTCTTTGTTTTTCTTCTTTCTGTATTTTTCTTAATTGAATTTATTGGGGTGACACTGGTTCATGTCCACTGCTTTCTAACCACAGTTGTGCTCAATAACACTCCTCATTCCGAAAGTATTATGTTTTGACATCTGGGATCCTACAGTTTCTGGGGCCAAAAATCGTCTATGCCATAACAAAAAGATAATCCAAACCTCAGATCAAGACCAAAGAGAGACCACAGGGATTAAGTTTCCCTAGTATACAAACAGAACCCAGTTAATAAAAGTAACAGCCAGTCCTTAAGGAAGTTGTTCTGAATGCATTCCTGAATCCCTGAAATATCATGGCTGACTCAAAGAAACACAGAGGATAAGATGCAAAGCAGGAACAACCCACAATTTTAAGTTAACTTAAAGGTTAGAGAAGTAATTTATTTAAACAGTAAAAATGATTTTAAAAATCAAGTCTTCCATATGGTTTTAAGGCTTGAAACACTAATTCAAAAGTCTAATTAAGCAAAAGTTTCCCATTTCTACATTTTAAAGAACTCTACCTGATTTTATGAAGTTGTTTTGAAGTGAAGAATCTCCAGAGGAAACATATTGATTACTTGTGAGATTTGTATTCCCAGACATAGTCGGTCCAGTTGATACACGAGGATAATGGTTTGTCTGTGATCCTGTGGATGGATAGTTATATTGCCAATTCAAAGGTGGTGGTGCGTTGGCTCCAGGATGAAAGCCACCAGAAGGCACTGGTGTAGCAGATGGGTTCTGAGAAGTATGTTGTGACATTCGGGGAACAGGACCACTATGGAGTGAAGGTGTCACTGGATTAGAAGCCATAGGTGGTCTATGAAGAGTCTGCCCAGGTCCCTGATAATTACTTAATGGAGAAACAGTATGAGAACCACCATAGTTCGACTGTCCAGAGACTGGATTCAAAGTCTTTGCTGGTATTAGATGAGGATAGGATTCTGGAAGCTGAGAATTATATCCTTGTGAAGACATCAGTGCATTTTGGATAGGACCTTCCGATAAGAGAAGGGAAAAAAAAAATCAGTCTTGCAAACAAATAAAGCAATACTTTAAAAAACACAATAAAATATATGGTATTCTTACAACTCAACAATAAAAAGACAAATAACCCAATTTAAAAATGAGCAAAGGATTTAAATAAACATTCAAATACATTTCCAAAGAGATATATAAATAAATGGCCAGTAAACATGTGCAAAAACAGACAATATTAGCCATTAAGAGAAATGCAAATCAAAACCACAATTAGATACCACTCACACCAAACAGGATGGCTAAAATGAAAAGAAAAAAAAAAGAAAATAACAAATGTTAAATAGGATGTGCAGAAACTGGAATCCTCATGCATTACTAGTGGAAATGTAAAATGGTGCACCTACATTGGAAAACAGTTTGGTAGTTCTTCAAAATGTGTGTTGTTTTTTAAATTGATTTTAGAGAGAGGAAGGGAGAGGGATAGAGAGATAGAAACATCGATGAAAGAGTGACATCAATTGGCTGCCACCTGCACGCCCCCTACTGGGGATCGAGCCCACAACCTGGGCATGTGCCCTGATGGGGCAAACCAAACCGGGGACCTCTTGGTTCATGGGTCTATGCTCAACCACTGACCACAGTGGCTGGGCACCTCAAAATGTTAAAGTTATCATATAATCCAGAAATTCCGCTCCTAGTCTACATAAAAATTTGTACACGAATATCATAACATTATTAGTAATAGCCAAAAAGTGAAACAACTCAAATGCCCATCAACTGATAAGTAGGTAAACAAAAGGGATACATTCAGACAGACAATGGAATTTTTTTTTCTTATTTTGATTTTTTGGGATAATGGAATACTATTTGGTCATAATAAGGAATGAAGCATTAACAACATGCTACAACATAAATAAACCTTGAAAAGATCATGCTAAGTGAAAGACACTAGTCACAAAGGGCCATATATTATATGATCCATTTATATGAAATGTCCAAAAAAGGAAAATCTACAGACAGAGGTAGATTTGTGGTTGCAGTGGTTAGGTGGAGGAGGGAATGGGGAGTGACCACTAATGGGTATGAAGTTTCTTTTTGGGGTGATAAAAATATTCTAAAACTGATTATAGTGATGGTTGCAGAACTTGTCAATACACTAAAAATCATTGAATTCTATACTTTAAAACTATTATAAAAACTTAATCTCTAGAATCACCACTTCTATTCAGGAATATACTATCATTTCTGTCCATAAAATTAAACAATAAAAGGAAATAAGATGAGTATTTTTTAAAAGATGCCACTCATGCAAACTTTTTTGTTGTTACTAATCCTCATCCAAGGAATGAGTATATTTTCTCCATTAATTCTTTAGAGAGAGTGAAAAGGAGGGGAGGGGGAGACAGACAGACACGTGCATATGAGATAGACACATTGACTTGTTGCCTCCTGCACATGCCCTGACTGGGTCCAGGGATGGAACTTGCAACCCAGGTACATCCCCTTGACTGGGAATCAAACCCTCGACCCTCTGGTGCACAGGCCAATGCTCTAACTACTGAGCAAGGTCAGCCTGGGCTCATACAAACTTTTTATTTTATTTATTTATCCTCACCCGAGGATATTTTTTTCCATTGCTTTTCAGAGAGAACTGAAGGGTGAGAGAAAGAGAAACATCGATGTGAGAGAGACACACTGACTGACTGCATCCCACACACACCCTGACTGGGGCTGGCAATCGAGCCTGCAACTGAAGTATGTGTCCTTCGCTGGAATCGAACCCAGACCCTGTAGTGCGCAGGCTGACTCTCTTAACCACTGAGCCAATCCGATGGCCAGGGCCATACAAACTTTTTTTTTTTTTTTTTAAATATATCTTTATTGATTTTAGAGAGAGGAAAGGAGAAGGAGAGAGAGAGACAGAGCATCAATGACGAGAGAGTCATTGATCGGCTGCCTAGCCTGCACCCCGGGCATGTGCCCTGGCTGGAAATCGAACCCCGATAGCCTGGATCCTAGGTCGATGCTCAACCGCTGAGCCACGCCCGGCCAGGCCAAACTTTTTAAATGCCTTTGGACTACTTATGTTTAAAAAATATAAAAAGAAAATATTTAGCCCAGCCAGGTGTGGCTCAGTGGTTAAGGATCAACCTAGGATCCAGGAGATCAAGGTTCGATTCCTGGTCAGGGCACATGCTCGGGTTGTGGGCTCTATCTCCAGTCGGGGTGTGCAGGAGTCAGCAGATCAGTGACGACTCTCTCACTACTGATGGTTCTATATCTCTCTCCCCCTCTCCCTTCTTCCTCTCTCTGAAATCAATAAAGATATATTAAAAAAAAAAAATTTATCTTCCATTCATACCTCCTCAGTCCATGCAATTAATGTACAAATATCAGACTAATTTGAATTATTTCATAATTATATACTGCTTATACAAACATACATAAGTCTGTGTATATGTTGAGAGAGGTAAATTGGGAGGCCTACAAAAGCATATATAGATATATAGTATGAGTTTGAAAGAGGGCATTAGTCTCTATACATTGCTCTCCAAACCAAAAAAACAGGAAAAAAGAAATAGATACAAATGTGTTAGCTGCAGCATTGTTTATAATAATGAAAAGTTGGAAAGAAATGAAATATCTAAACATAAGATTAAATTGTAAATTAGTCACCCTATAGACCATTTGTCAATAAAATGAATAAACAAGATGTACATTTATCAACAGGGATAAATTACAAACAAAATATTAAGAGAAAAAAGAAAGTTACAGAGATTATACCTTTCTTATAAAACTTTTTATTATGAAACATTTCAGACACACACAAAGACATAAGCCACTTTATGCAGTCTCCCACAAAAATCTGAGATGTGGAAATGGAATCACATTTTATTTATATATTAATTTTAGATTGTTAACATTTTTATGACAGAAAATTTTTCCCATTGAGAAACATGGTACATTTCTCCACTTATTAAAATGTTATTTTAGCCCTGGCCAAGTGGCTCGGTTGGCTGGAGCATTGTCCAATGTACCAAAAAGGTTGGGGTTCAATTCCCAGTCAGGGCACATGCCTAGGTTACAGTTCGATCCCTGGTCAGGGCACATGTGGGAGGCAACCGATTGATTCTCTTTCCCTCTCTCTCTTCCTCTCTCTCTAAAACCAATAGAAACATATCCTCAGGTGAGGATTCAGAAAAAAAACCTTATTTTATACCTTCCAATTATATTTCATGCTTTTTTCATAAAGATGTCTTATGCCTTATTTAAATTAAATTTTGTTAATTTCTTGATTGGTATTTTGTAGCTTGTAAATACTATGAATAGAATATTTAATATCATTTCTAGTTAAAAAAAAAAGCTATTGATTATTCAAAGTATCATAAGTGCCCCAAATATAAGGTGAGATTTTCCTCAAAAAAGTTCTCATTGTACAAGAATGCTTTGTCATAGGGGATTAAAACTATTTTTAAAACAACAGGTAGCAATCCATTATTGGGTTATTAAAATTAATGACTTACAAGCTATCTGTTTTGTAATGAAACAGAAGATAGTTAAGACCAGAAATTATCACAGCACATTACATGTAATAAGGGGAAATACTGTATAGTTTCATCTATAAATATATACTTATATGAATATACACAGTAGGTCACTATTTAAAATGCACTTTTTGCCTTGGCCAGTTTGGCTCAGTGGTTAAAGCATAGGCCTCTGGATCCAAGGGTCACGGGGTTAAATTCCCAGCCAAGAGCATGTACCTCGGTTGTGGGTTCAATCCCCAGCCCCAGTCAGGGCATGTGCAGGAAGCAACCAATTGATGTTTCTCTCTCTCTCCCCCTCCTTTCTCTCTTCCACTCTCTCTCTAAAATTCAATGGAAAAAATATCCTCAACTGAGTATTAAAAAAATAATGAAATAAATAAAATGTATTTTTATTATAGATTACACAGTCTGAAAGCCACCTGACCAACTGATACCTTTGAGTCCTCCTTTATCTCCTTTATGATTTACTCCCTTCCCATTCCTTTTACCTTTTACACATTACCTTTAAATTTTTTTTAAAAATTTCATCCGAGGATATCTTTTCCATTACTTTTTAGAGAGAATGAAAGGAAGGGAGGGGGAGAGAAATATCGACATGAAAGAGACACATCGATTGATTGCCTCCCGCAAGAACCCCAATGAGGCCAAGGATCGAACCTGAAATCCAGGTACTGCCCTTAACCAGGAATCAAACAAGTGACACTTCGGTGCGTGGGCCTATGCTCTAACCACTAAGTAACACCAGCCAGGCTATACATTACATTACCTTTTAAAACATAGATCATATGAGCTCTCCTACTCAAATATTCCAAAGTCCTTATCTTAGTTTACAAGACCCTCCATGTTGCCCTGGCCCAGTGGCTCAGTTGGTTGGAGCATCCTACCATACACCAAAAGGTTTGGGGTTCAATTCTGGTCGGGGCAATTGATTGATGTTTCTCTCACATAGACGAATCTCTCTCAAATCAATAAAAACACATCCTCAGGTGAGGATTTAAAAAAAAAAAAAAAAAAGACCCTCTATGTCTCTGGCTTCCCTTCTGGTCTCATTTCCTACTTTCTTTTTCTTTTTTTTAAATATTGGACATTCATTTTATTTTAATAAAACAGCGCCAGGATAATACATACGTTCTCTCTCATCTGTAAGGAAGTATACTATATTCTTCTGATTCTATTTGTTTCTTGCTCTCTGCACAAATTTTAGTATAAAGTTCAATTTTTCTGAAAGGTTAGGTTTTAACATACAGTATGTCAACTCAGACAAGAAAGTAGCCATCTTATTTTTAGGGTTTTTGTTTGTTTTTTTTAACCCTCACCTGAGATTATATTTTTTCCCCATTGCTTTTCAGAGGGACTGAAAGGCAAAGAGAGAGAGAGACATCGATTGGTTGCCTCCCACAAGCTACCTGACAGGGGCCAGGGATCGAGGTACGTGCCCTTGGCCGAAATCGAACCGGGGACCCTTCGGT